AGGCACTGAGGTGTGGTGCTTATAGCAGCCAAGATAAAGAACTGGCATTGAAATAAAGATGAAAGCATCAGAGAAATGATAGTGGTGCAGGGCCCATGGTAGCTTTTCCTTAGAGCCCTAACATATGTTTTCCTCACAGACACGAAGGCTAGATTTTTTTTTTCATTTTTAAACTATGATAGTTTTTACCATGATAAGTACAAACAGAGGAAATTGAAGCCACTATTAAGAGAATGTTATGATACCACAAACAATCAATATCCACTATAGTTGTGTTACCCCCATGCAAGCTATAAGCGGGGTTTATGTAGTGTGCCACATGTCCTTGTTATTTGCAATCTTGCATGATGAACGTGCTTGGCAAGATCACAGGAAGTGGATCACAGAACTATCGGCTTTAAAACATTTGGCAAGTCATATGTACCTTTTGTATTTTGGCAAGTGTGCTGTACCTCGTACAATAGCTTGTTAAGGTCCACACTCTGTTCTCAGTGCCTGCCAGATACAAAGCTGATTGAAGCCAAAAGAAAGACCCCAACTGCCTTCCGCTTCTGCAGAACTATTTCCCTTTACAGCTACATAGCTTTAAGGAAGTCCAGCTGACGGAATAACATGACCTGCAGAATTTAGCAGGTGGCTGAGGTTGCCAAAATCCTGCTGTCAAAAGTTATTCATGGGAAATATCCTGGAAACACTTTTCAGCAAACAGCCAACAACATTAATCACTTTCAAGCAAGCGAGAGAGAAGCAGGCATCTGTGCTAAGGCCACTGCTTAATATTCGGGCATAGTTAAAGGCAGAATGGTCTGTTTATTATATTTACTATGTTATATAACTACTGTGGTAATGTTTAGTATGTTTATTAAACTCATGTTTCCTGATTGCTTATTTGTACCCTATGACTATCATTAAGTGTTGTACCTTATGATTCTTGACAAATGTATCTTTTCTTTTTATGTACATTGAGAGCATATGCACCAAGACAAATTCCTTGTGTGTCCAATCACACTTGGCCAATAAAAAATTCTATTCTATTCTATTCTATTCTATTCTATTCTATTCTATTCTATTCTAAATTCTATGTTGTCCTTCCTCTGGGAAGTTAAAGAAACCCTGTGTGACCCTCTTCTTTATTTTATCTTCCCAGAGGATGGTAACACCTCCTATTTTTTCACTCTGACCTCACCATAATGAAAAAAAATTTAAAAATACATTTATTTCCAAGATTTTGTTTTTCATAATTGATTTCAAGAGACAGAGAGAGATAGCTGGAAGTAAATAAGAAGCCTTGTGATATGAGATGGGGGTAAGGAAAAATCCTGTAAACCCAAAGTTTTTGAATGTGGTGAAATAACATTTTGAGTATGATCAAACTATATCTTGAATAATGAAATGGCTGAGTCATATTACCTGGATTCTTTTCAGGCCAACGTACAGCTCTGAGACAGCATTGGTAATGCTTGCTGATGACCTTTGGAGGGCTCCAGATGGGGAAGGTGCAACTGTCCTGGCTCTCCTGGATCTCTCAGGAGCTTTTGATCTCAGTGACTTTTGATACATTGATACCATGTTATCCTTCTGGACTGGCTCCAGCAGTTGGGAATAGGAGGCAATATTTTGCACTGGTTCTCCTTTCTCCATGACCAGTTCCAGTTGGTGTTGAATAGGGAGGAAAGTTCAAGCCTTAGGCCTTGCAATGTGCGGTGCCTCAGAACTTGACTCTTTCACCTCTCCTCTTTAACATCTATATGATTGCTGGATGAGGCTATCCAACAACATGGGGTACAGTATCATCAGTATGTTGATGATATGCAATTATTCTTCGCACAGATTTGTGTTGTGCACCATTTGCAGTCTTCCCTGGACCTGGAGACCTTGCTCAGTCACTCACATCTTAGTTACCTTAGTTTGAGAAGATGTTTCACTTCTCAAAGAAAAACCAGAAAGTTCAGTTGCCTCTTGAAAAAGCACCTTCGGAACAACCATGACCTGGATGAATCTCCATAGACATCCCACCTGGATTATTGCAATATGCAATAATCCAGGCATTATGCATGGAGCTGCCCTTGAAGACCATTTGAAATTTACAACTGGTCCGGAAGACAACAGCTGCCACTAGGTTTGCCCGTGTAACATCTTTATTGACTGAGCTGCACTGGCTTCAGTTTTCTTTCAGATGCAATTCAAAGTGCTAGTTATCACATTTAATTTACCCACCCGGCAAGGAATCAGACTATTTGTGGGACCACATTTCCCTAAAAATATCTGCCCATCCCACTAGTTCAGATGGGGTGGGCATGTTCTAAGTTCCCTTCTTGAAATCTTGCCATCTAGCAGGACTTCAGTAGCATGACTTTTCTGTGTCTACATGGAAGGAGGGTAACTGAGCCTGCTGTGGAGCATCCCAAGGGGCCAATTATGGCACAGGGTTTTTGTTCATTGTTTTATTGGTTTGATTTGTTTTATGGTTGTTGTAAGCCATCCAGATTTGCTTAAGATGAGTGGCCATATAAAATGTTTAAATAAACAAATTTTACTGGGTGAGAAGAGAGAAATCCATATATGTTTCAAAGATAAAATACTCTAGGAAAGTTTGGAAAAAGCAGGTTGCAGTAGATATAGTTCTGGGAGTAGTTTGTGTTTGAGAGAGATTTCAGTTTTTCTCCTAACAGATCACATAGAGTGTGAATCTCTAACTCACTTGACTGTTGTAACATCCCTCTTTAGCATCTGGATTTTAATTTAATTCTTTTGCTTTGCCTGGAAAGACACAGCCCTAGGCATTTATGGCATGAGCAATATTCCCAGAGAACAAGCTCCTTTGGAGCCTGGACATAAAACTATTTTGAACTTTAAAGCTCTCAATGGACTAGGGCCAGGTATACAAAAGAACTCCCTCATCCTATATGACTGTAGCTTTCTTTAAGATCTTATTTGGAGAGCAGGCTTCAAGACCACTCACGGCTTGAAATTTGGTAGTGGATCAACCAGTCTATTTAGGGTATGTCCAAATTTGTATCTATGTTGTAAAAATGCATCTTTTAGGGAAACTGAATATTTATGGAATTCATCTGTCACTAGGAAATTGCTTCCCATTATGACCTGAAGATCATCTTTCTGAAGATGCTACTATCCAGTAGTTCAGAAACCTACAAATCAACTGAGTAAACAAGAATTAAGAAACAATCAGTTATCTAGACAGTGGAATTTTACTGAGGACTAGCTTCTCATCTAGATAATGGAATTTATAAGGTTTCCAAGAAAGAAAAGCAAAGTGGAGACGTAAAAGACTTAATTGAAAAAAAAAGGAAGTATACCAAGAGAAAAGAAACAGACATATCAAATTATGAAAGGTCAATTAGCAAACATTTGAAGGCTATCCCAGAAGGATTAAGAACGAGAAAGACAGTAAACTGACAGAGGGAGGGAGGAGAGAGAGAGAGAGAGGGGAGAAGTATTGTCTATCATTATCTTCTGAGACAAATGGAGAAATGGTAATTCTCAGTGGTAAAAAAGCAGATTGTGTGTTCCCAAGCCACAATTTAACTTTCATTGGCCAGGCATTTGAGATGATGTACAAAGAAAGGCATCCAGCCAAGATACACAAAAAGGATTTGGGCAAAGTATATGCCTAGAAACAGCCTAAATGTAGGAAGCCATAATTATACTTTGATGAAAACAAAATACTTGGATGTTTATTGTGAAAGAAGTTTCATGAAAAGTTAAAGAGTTGTGCTTGATAGGTGAACTGAGTTCTTGGTATTGTTAGTATCTCAGTTGCAATTTATGTGTGTTGTCTGGATTATGCTTGGTGGAGGGAAAACTAGCTTAGTACCTTTAGGAATATGTTTGCTTTAATCCATTCTGGCAATATCTAGAATAGGATACTTGTCCGGTCCCATCAGTGTTGGATTTCCAATTGATTATGTGCCATCAAGTCATTTGTGACTCCTAGCAACTAATTGTATTTTCTAAGGGAGGAAAGATCTTGGTCCCAGAGCATTTTAAAGTAGGTATAGGATGTGTTAAATCTATATTAAACTCAGTCTTTAAATGCTCATTTGGACACAATTTGGTCTCCCATAATGCTATGAATATGAAACAATGCCTACTGAAGTCTGGGCCAAACTCTTTTAAGTATCCCAAATACTGGGTTTCACACACTCATGCAATTAAAATCTCTTGCAAGATTTTCTTAGATGCATCTTTCGCTTTTTGTTTATTATATTTTCATTGTCAGTAGATTAAGTAGTAATATATTAAAATCTTCACCTGAACTATCACATTCATTTGTAAGTTGCAATCCAAATATTACATTATCATCTTGAAAGCCATTTTTTGGTTGTGATCTCCATATTTCAGACTTTAAGAAGTGCTGTCTTCTTAGTGCAATCAGGAATATTAGAAATTGTCTTGTATTGTAATGATCCATGTTTCAAATATGCATAGGAATGTAAAAAAAAAATCTGAGGAACAGATTTATCCATTTTTCTCTAGTAAAGAAACTCTTCAAAAACATTGCATTTGTTCACAAAAGGTACATGCAGGAATAAAAGTCTTGAAATTGATTTCCATCTATCTTGCATTGGTTTAAAACATTGTTAGGGTTACTTTAACATAAAGAAAAAGAGCTGAATCATAAACAACTAGGTGAAAAAAAAATGACATCAGGAAATTTGCTTAAGTTATGGTAAAGCAATAGAAGTTTGTGTACACAGTCCCCATTTGAAGAAAAGAATCTCACTTGTGCAGTTGAGCTGTGTATCTCTACAAATTATTTCCATATTTTTTTCTTGTAATTGTATTGTATAAGAGCTGGTCAAAGCACTATGTCAGAATCTGTTTTCATGACATTGATAGATAAGTAGATAGATTGATGGCACAACCTTTTGAGGTTTATAGTTATTTTCTATATTCTTTTTGAGTCCTTCTTAGCTATTTTTTTCAAATTAAATTGTGAGAACTAAATATCACTGAATATAAATGTTCTTGTTTTACAGATGATCAAAAATAAAGATCCCACATCACCTACACAACGCTATATTGATAGCAAGGTCGTGAAAACAAGGGCTGAGGGAGAATGGTTATCTTTTGATGTAACTGAGGCTGTACATGAATGGCTCCATCACAAAGGTGATAGTCATTAATTATTTTAGTGTTAGCCTGTATTAAATTTGAACAGTTTGAAGTCTTGCCTGACCTGATATAAAGCAAATTTTCTTTCTCTGATATTTTGCAGACAGAAATTTGGGGCTTAAGATCAGTTTACATTGCCCATGCTGTACATTTGTGCCTTCAAATAATTATATTATTCCAAATAAAAGTGAAGAATTAGAGGCAAGATTTGCAGGTAATAACTAAAAATTTAAAAATAAAATAATTGTGTAATGAATGTGAAATGTTTCAGCAGATCTTATAATATGTCCAGTATTGCTAAACTCAACTAATGAAGGAAAATATGGAGTGTCAGACGGTGTGGGATCCTTAAACAATTGCTTTCAAAATCTGGTGTAGCATTATGTATCTTTGTTTAAAGTATTTAGTATGATAATAGATTATAACATGATTAATAAGTTACTTCTTAGCATAATTTTCTTGCTAGCTTCATTAGTACTCATGCAAATCTTTCTGCCTGTGTGATCTTTCTGTATTGCAACTTGCTTAGGGATTCATGATTTTGAGCATCCAGCTAAGCACTGATGCTCAGAGAAACATACATTCAGAATGTAAATGATTAATTTCAACCCTGGCCATTATCTAACTGGTGACCTTAGATGTATCCAAGCATATTAATGGAGTCTATATGGCAATGCAGGTAACTAGATTCACATGTTATCTGTGATAACTACTTGTCCCTGCTTCACTGAGGCTGATTCTGTAGCTCAGGGGTGTCCAACTGATGGCCTGCGGGCTGGATGCATCATGTGCAGGCAATGTCCACCCCGGCTCCGCAAAGGCAAAACCCGCCGTGATATGTTGCAATGTGTCACATGACACAATCGAGTTTGACACCCATGCCATAGCTGCTTCTTTTAGATCTCCATCTGTATGGAACTAAAGTGACACACTATTGTCTATGGCCCTTCTTTGAAAAGAATTTATATTTGCTTGGGATTAAATAAATATTATGTTGATATTTATAATAATTATGGGATAAATAAACCTATAACCGATCATATGACTAATAATTGATATGAACAAAGCAAGTGTTCCTGATCTGAAATGATGCAGAGATAATAAGAATATAGGATATTTAAATTAACGCAGATCCCTGCTTCTCACATTCATGTATCAGCATGTCGTAAATCAGCCCAGCTGATGCCAGCACACCTGATGATGATTCTGTGATTTAAATTTCTTGTGAAGAGATACTTTATATAATTTGTTCCAAAAAAAAGCAACTCTATATTTATTACCAAAATGTATTTTTTAAAGGTATTGATGACCACCCTTATTCCAGTGGTGAGAAAGCTTTAAAGTCCAGTAGGAAAAAATACAGTGGGAAGAGCCCACATCTTCTGCTAATGTTATTACCCTCCTACAGACTTGAGTCGCAACAATCCAGTCGGCGGAAGAAGCGTGCTTTAGATGCTGCCTATTGTTTTAGGTAATTACATTATAAGATGTTCTAGGCTTTTATGCATGTGTAAAAATATTAATGCATATTAATGCAACCCTTTTTTTAAAAAAAATCTGCTTTTTATTTATAATTTTAACAGCATTGTATTTGAAAGGGATATATGTCACTTCCCACTCCTACCCCACCCACATAACTTTGGATAAAAGTTTGTATTTCTCTGGATTTGTTCCTCAAAGTCTTGAAGGGCTACAGCTGCTGAAGGACTTGGGTGGCTGCTTTGAAGAAGACACTTTCTTCAGGATAGTTGGCAAAGGAACCATTGAGCAGCTGCTTCATAACTTCAACAATAAGATCAAGAATTGTGTGGGGGGGGGGGAGGGAGGAACTTCATACACATCAGATTATATATTCAAACCTAAATCTCATTTGTTCATTTTCTGGCAATCTATACTAACTGCATTTTTTACTGAAGAATAACATTTGCTTTTATTTGCACCTTTGTTAAAATCCCTGTGACATTTTGGCTGTTCAAAAGGTAGGCTATCTCCAATCTGAAGAATTAAACAAATAGAATCTAGTAATATGTCTCAAATGTATAAAACAAGAGCATATGCTCAGAATCATGTAGTAATTGAGCAGCTGCTAATGTAGTGCCAGAAATCATAAAATGCGGCTTGGAACCAGTTAGGGTCTGAATAGGGAGGAACTGAGGCTCAGTTGCAGCAAGAGACAGTGGCTTTTCAAAGCCTTCTGACAGCAGGATATTCCATTTTGGATACTGGAAAGGATTGCATTTCCTATGCAAAACTGGCTTGTAATAGGGAGATTCTCATGGACTCACAACTCCAGGAGAAGAATAGGTGGCAACAGTGGCTAGAAAGGCTTTCTATCACCTCGTTTTGGGCATGAATTGTGATCTTTCTTGGTTCAGGAAGTGCTGCTGACTACCATTCATGCTTTTGGTCACCTCTCATTCTGATTATTGCATTGGAATATTTGAAGACCTAGAAACTGGTCCAGAAAACAGAGGCTCATGGAAACCAGTTAATTTGCTCTCATATCACAAGTACTTCAAGGCTACCAATTGGCTTCCAGCTACAATTTATGGTACTGTTCTTCTCCTTTAAAGGCAAAGAAAGAGTCCCCTGCCCTTCCTCACAATTATGCACATAGCATAATTAAGAGCATCTGTCTAGAGATAAATTTTGCATTTGTTAATTCATTTGTATGGATGCAGTTGTAAAAATAGATTTTAACAGGTGACAGCTCATGTCTGGGTTTGGAAGATAAAATAGGCTCCTTTCTGAATAGAGCCTTCTAGAGAATACCAGGACAATAGGAGGTCAGATTGGGAGGTTATGGTATGGTATGATAAACGCCTTCTGTTCCCAAGAAAATTGCATGTATATGTCAATGCAAAAATCACACTCATCTCAAAAGAAAATAAATACTGGGTCCAGCAAGTTGGGCATTTTTTGGGTCCCATCAGTCAAGAAATGTTGACTGGCCAGGACCAGGAGATGTGGCTTCTCTATGGGAGCCTATACCCTATGGAACATTTTCTCCTCAGAGATTAGGATGACCCCAAACCTGTTGGCTTTTTGCTAAAGCCATGAAGACCTGATAATGTACCTTAACCCCCCCTCCCCCGGGTATGTTAAGGGCCCCTTTTCTTGGCTATATTAATAACCACGACAGTAGTTTTATTCAATAACTATAGAGACAGACAGACAGAAAGAGTATTGTTTTAATGTTGCTATGATATATGCTTCCCAGAATAATTTGTTCAGCTGGGTAAGTACAGAAATCAAACAAATGATAAATCTTAGTACAAGTTGTACATCTGCTGGATCTGCCATTTGGTTTTGATTGCTAAGGAACAGTTTCAAAGTCCCTGCTCCTATAATTCCTTCACTTTCAGCTAGACATGGTTTAGTCCATTGTTCAAAGAAATTGTTGAAAAACAGAAATATCTCCTGCCTGCCTGACACCAGAGAGTCCATATTTTTCCCATGAATGGCTAAGGCAGCTTCCCAATTTTACACCTGAAGATAGGTTGTAGGTATTCTAATTACACTAACGAGAACAAGATCCACCTCTTCAAAGACTCTAGTAGTCACCAGGATCAATTTTTTCTATTTTCCTCCAGCTTTGAACAATACATATTTGATATCCATTCTCCTAAATGGATGCAGAGAAACTTAAAAATATAATTTACTTAAGGATACAAATAAAAATCTGTAGCTAGTATAAAAGATGAATGTGAGAATAATATCTAGTTATGACTGATTGTATACACAAAATTATAAGATATACACAGAAACTTGAAATGTCTGCAAGAAATCCTAACAATGCATGACATACACAAAGCCTTCATTAATTCAAGTGAAAGAACAACTATCATGCTCCTTTTCCTTCCAAAGTTCTAGCTAGAAAGAAGCAGATTACAATTTTAAAATTTTATTTTATGTTATCTTTTTCATTATTTCATATTATATTATATTTCTAGGCCATCTGATTCCCAAACAATAAAAACAAAATAAAGTGAAACATAATAAATAAATAAAATAAAAAAATAAACAGACACACATGAGAAGTGAAGAAATAATATTTCCTGGATATATTTGCCGATTAAGTGTCAATCATGTGCTATTTTAATGCATTCTTTTAAAAAAACCTGAATTTAATTATCAGTACATAATTATATAATTATGATATGATGCTTAACATTTCATTCATTAATTCCTTCTTATGCATGAATATTAGTACATTGTGAACCCAGAGTGGCACAAAGTATAAAAATATAGTATTAAACTTCACAATGTGTGTATTTGTGTTTCTATGTGTAAACTCAAGGATTTCTCCCTTCTACAATCTGTGACAGACTGAGAACTAAAGCAAAAGAGTAATTTAACGTGCCTTTTTAAAAAATGGCCATTCTGGAGGTGGGGGATTAAAGAATTGTTTTTTCCTGTGCCATGGCCTTGATCACCCATCCACCCCATTCATTAAAGCTGAAATGTGTACTACTACTCTTCTGTCCATCCAATTTTATGATGGAAAATTCTTAAGAGGCAGTCCTATGCCTAGGCTCAGGTTTATTTATGACAAGTTGGAAATTAGATCTTATTAATAAGAGAGTTCGGAAAGTGTGATAAAAATATCATTAAACTGTGGATTTCATAAAATTCACCCACAGAAGAGGCTGTTTGTTGCATTTCTGAATGATTTATTGCATTAAGGAATCTGCACTGCATAGCAGCATTCCGACTGGCAGAATCTTATTAAATATCTTGTCTATAACTCCATTTACAGGAACGTGCAAGATAACTGCTGTCTACGTCCATTTTATATTGATTTCAAGAAAGATCTTGGATGGAAATGGATACATGAACCTAAAGGATATCATGCAAATTTCTGTGCAGGAGCTTGTCCCTATTTATGGAGCTCAGATACCCAGCACAGTAGAGTAAGTATTTTAGAACACTAAGAAATATTAGGGCTATCAAGTAGAACGAAACCTATTTTGTCAGTTTAAAATGTGTTTTTAATTAATTTAATTGATTGATCATATACTAACACTTCATTTCCCCCAACTTTTTTTAAAATCTGATTATTATGGCATATACCATTGACAGAAATTGAAAGAAAGGGAAAGAACATTTTAAAATCAGAAGAACTGTACTTCATATCCAGATTGAGTATGTAAAGAAACTCAAGAGACATCAAAGGATGATGCAGCAAAAGCAATCCTTGTATTAACGGAAACACTGGAACATTTTATTTTAATTTCCACTTTGATTTTTTATGCCCAAAGACATTGGGGTCACATTCTTGTTCAGCCATTACCACCATATTTTCTCAGGATGTATTGAAGGAAAAGCTATGCTATACCTACCAATTCTGCTTCGGTGATCATGTGAGCTACGATCTTTGTTGGAAAATACTGATAAATCTTCCTCCTGAATGTGCTGAATTCAGTGAACAGTGTTTCAGAACATATGGAGTTTGTCACTCTGTTTACCATCATGTTCAGTTCTTCTTCCTTCATACTATCCTATCCAGTATGCAAAAGACTTACTCTTGATCTTAGCCCTCTGGTTACTGTACTGTACGTTTTGAAGCTGAGACATTTCTTCTTTTTTCCCTACCTTTTTAGTGGTATTATCTTGGTAGAATAAGCACTTATCCTTTCACTGTGGGAAAACATACTTAAAAGTACTATATGAAGTTGCCACCGACTGAATGAGCCTGTTAAGTCATCTAGACCAGTTTTGTCCACTCTGATTTCTTGTGATTTCATTTTCTTTGATTCCTTTTCTATGGAATCTCCTATATCTGTAATGTCAGTCACTATTCGCCTTACACTCTTCTTCCAAGGCATTTCCAACGCACCTCCTCCCCACCCTTTCCTATCTTTTTATTCTGCAAAAACTAAAAATTCATCAAGCTCTGCTTTTAAAAGACCCTGGCATGTAGGTTACCTTTTATGTTGATAAGAGTCTGCACAGCCTGTTGCAATGTAATGTTTCTTGTGATTGCATCGTTTGAATGAATACTGGGTCTTAAAGCAGCTCTGATTCATTTCAGCGTGACTTATAAAAAGAACATCCATGTGTCAGTACAAAAATCACAGTTATGGCTGCAATAGTGAAGGAGGTATAAAAATGGCAGCCATACAACCATGGTTCAAAACCATAAACCATGTCCTTTCCATTCTACCATATGATGCATACACTAATGTTAAAGCTGACTCTGGCTCTCAAATTTAAAGAAAACCTGGCCTCAAAAAACTCAAAATTGGGTACATGTTCCACTCCTTTGGTACAAAGCATAGCTTTCTTATCTGGTGGTAAAAAAAGCAATCAACTCCATGCAGCATCCTGCTGCCAAAACAGTGTAAAGAAATATGAATCAGTAATAAGTACAGAAGTTAATAACTAGAGCACTTTCAATTAGCAGGAATGGTGCTGATGCCTGACAGTAGAAATACCGGTATGTATTCAGATTATAACTGAAAGTATTATAACTTGCAATGTTTATAAAGGTGGGGGCTATATGGTACATTTGTTTTTAGTTTAGTTTATTTTTTTTTTAAAAAAAATTTTAAACGTTTCATCCTTGACCATACATAAATAGAAGCAATCCATTTATCTTGAGAAGATATGCTTTTAGAGATCAGTGGTGATAGAACAATATAGGTAGCCTCAATTTACAACCACAATGTTGTGTTGTTAAGTGAGACATTTGTTCAGTATGTTTTTCCCCATTTTACAACATTTCCTGCTACTGTTGTTAAGTGAATCGCTGCAGTTGATAAATTAGTACCCTGTTTTCCCCAAAATAAGACATCCCCTGATAATAAGCCCAATCGGACTTTAGAGCACATGGCAATAAGGCCAAGCACTGATTTCAGGGTTCAAAAAAATATAAGAGAGGGTCTTATTTTTGGGGAAACATGGTATTAGTTGATAAATTGTCAAGTGAATCTGATTTCCGCATTGACTTTGCTTGTCAGAAGGTCGCAAAAGGTGACCCTTCTACTGTCATGAGTATAAAGCAGTTGCCAAGTATCTGAATTTTGATCACATGAGCATGGGGATGCTGCAAAGGTCGTAACTGTGAAAAACAGTCATAAGTTATTTTTTTCAGTGCCATTGTAACTTTGAACAGTCACTAAATGAACTGCTGTAAGTCAAGGACTACCTGTAGTGAGAAAGGGCTAGAGTTACTATGTTCTGCTTATGGGTTTCCTGTAAGCATTTGATTGGTCATTCCGGAAAGTCGATTTTGGACTGAATACGTCCCATCCCACAGGATTTCGTTTGTTCTTAGAAGCAAGTTAAAATATGTGGAACTAAGAAACTTTCAGCAGTAGGTCAGGTGAGGCCATCCCTGACTCTCGGGGAGGGTATGTCTGTGTGTGATTGCAAAAAGCAAAATGTTAATGGGGCACTTTATTTCTCTCCCTTACTGTTTTCAATAGTTATTTTACATAATTTTATCAACTTCTCCCTCAAAATAAGCCAAAGAATAATATGCCATTTTCAACTCTATCCCTTCTTGTGAATCCTAGAAACTTGAGAGAACTTTTCATTTTAGAAGGTATTCAGTATTTTCACTGGTGTCTCTTTTTTTAATCAACAGTTGTTTCATTAAAAAAAAAAAAAGTAATTCACTGCTGTGAAAATTCTCTACTGTTTGGATGTTTTACATATCTGTGTTTTTATTGATTCCAGCTGTCTAGGCTTATACAGAGGAAAAGAATTTGAGTATAATTACTTTAAAATGAATAAATTCTCACCATGTCAATGGTGCCATCAGAGCCGTAGGCTCCTTGTTATCCAAAGTTATTTGCTACTGTAATAACTGCAGAAGGTGAAGAAGTATCTTCTTTTTTTTCTTTTTCCTCCTAGGTGCTTAGCTTGTACAACTCAATCAACCCAGAAGCATCTGCTTCCCCATGTTGTGTATCCCAGGATCTGGAACCCCTCACTATCTTGTATTACATTGGCAAAACACCCAAAATTGAACAGCTTTCAAACATGATTGTAAAGTCTTGCAAATGCAGCTAAGGGGGATGTATTGGAGCATTTTGGAATATGTATATTTTTTTCCCCCTCTGGAAAGAAAGGAAGAAAAAGAAACATTCAAAAAAGAAGGAAACGAGAAAAAAAAATACATCATCCATGGTTTTTAAAAAGAAAAGAAAATGAAACGGTACTAGTCTGAATGGATTGAAACTTGGTTTCATTGTTTCGTGTTTTGTTTTTAAACAGTCACCTGATGCAAAACCGTGACGCCTTATCCTACATTTCATCTACTTGGTTAGTGAGATAGACATGAAGCATTTTTAGGAAAGCAGAAATACTAACAAGAACGAAAAAAAAGAAAGAAAACCTTTTTTTAAAAAAATAAACACTGGAAGAAATTGTTAAAGAGTTCTTATGTGAAAGGAAAAAAACAGGAAAAACCCATTAAGTGGAGTTGCTGTATCTATCCCGTGGCTTACTTGATTTTTATATTGTTATGCCATAGATGCCCTATCTGTTCCTTGTAGTTTTTAGAATTAACAGTGCATTATTTATTTTTGTGTAATGCGATCAAACAAGAATATGTATTGCCCTAGGGGTTGTGGGGACAGACCAGAAAGACATAAATGTTCAGACCAAACAAACAACTAAACGTTTTTAATACCTAGGGAACATGAACTCAGAAATATCCTGAAAAACAATAATTAGTTTAATCCAATTAAAACAGAACTCTGTTATTACGTCATTAAGAAAGCCTACTATAAAAGAAAAGCCACACACACACACACCTTGTTTTCTTGCAAAAAGCCTAAGAGGGCTTCTATGTAAAGCCTCATACCATTGTTGTAATACTGAGGAGGTTATTAATAAAGGACATTTTGTTTTCGTCTCAAAGACAAATCTATTAAGATTAAAACAACAACTGTAAATGAATTACAATTTAGTAAGCCAGTGAAATATTTAACATGTACTGGTCTCATCTTCAGACCCTAATATGTTGCTGTATAGTTATGCTTTGAGATTGTTTTTGATATATGTAACCACACCTATGATATTAAAATAGGGTGGGTAGTAAGAAGCCAGCTAAATTGGAAACATATCTGTAGATCTCTATTGTAAACTATTAAAAAAATAAGTACTTTATGTGTAATGTGTAAATTTTCACCATATTTTTGTATTCTGTTAATACTGTCAACTCTGAAGAATTTGAATTTGGGGGCTCTTGTTGATTACTCAGAATCATGTGCTTCCCTCGAGCTGGCCAGTATAAGTAGAGTCCCCTGTACTTTTAACTTGCACTACAAATACATGTTTTATAATATTTGCTATACATGCGTTTTGTATGTTGTTTTTCATCTCTATGACGCAAGCTACTTTTTTTTTTCCTTTTGGTCTGTATTTAGACAGAGGGATAGATTTAAATATTGTTTTGTATAAAATGTATGTACTTCAAACATCTTAACATTTTAAATTTCACACACACACACACACACACACACACACACACACACACACTTCTGAAGATGGGTGATGGGATGAGACTGGAGTCTGCCCTTGATTGCCTTGTTCTGCTCACAGGCGGTTAGTCCAAAGACAAGATCTTCCAGATCGAAAGGCAAAAGTGAACTTGGCAATTGTGATGGGCCTGTGCATCACTAGAGAAATCTGTAAAAGCTGGTTGCATGTGCAATTTCACTCCTTTCCTGGGGCACAGCAGATTGAGTAAAGAAGTATTTTTGATGCTTGCCCCTATGTTTAAAAGATTCCATTAATAATTGCTACTACTAATACTGCTGTCATATTGGGAGCACCAAAGCACTTCTGGGTTGAACAGTGACATCACTGTTGCTGGGGGGCACCCAGTTGAGGGCTGCTTTCATTTCCCCATTAAGTTGCCCACCGAAGTGATACCTATTTATCTACTTGCAGTTGGCCATTTTTGAACTGCTGGGTTGGCAGGAACTGGAGCATGTGACAGGAACTCACCTTGTCCCGCAGCAGCAACTGGGTTTTAAACACAAGCCTACCAACTGTCAGTCCAATGTCCTAATCTCGTGAACCACCATGCTCCTTCATTAATTACTTAAAAGGGTACTGTAATAGGGTCAGTTAAATTCCAAATTAAAGGAAGGAAGGGCCAATGCACTGTCTCTATTCCAACATAGTAGACACTAAGAAAACGGTAGTAGCTTCTTGGTGCAGTGGGACATACAGGAAGCAGTCTTCTCTTTCTTCTCAACAAAATCCAGAGTTTGGGAATATAGGGATTTATTAAAGCTTACGGGTGATCTTTCTAAGCCGGACCAAACTTTTAAAGCTGTACATGCACTGCTTATTTATATATACAGATATACAATGAAAAAAAAACTTGATTCTCAACATGTGCTCCCCACAGTTGGATTTGAGCATTCTGGAAGTCATAGTATGGTGAAGAAAATAATATTTTATACTGATTCAGTCAAGAAATATTACCTTTTGATGGTTAATGGTTTATTTTTCCCCAGAACTATTAAGACTGGAACAGGAACACAAGGTATCAGGTATATTGATTTTTACACCAGGGTAAACAGTCCCCAATTACTTTTCTTGAATATTGTAACTAAATGGTACCAAAGTAATATTGGATGAAATCCTATCTATATTGAATACAAATCATATTTAATTTATTTAAATTAGTTTTTTTTTCCAAACTGGTGTCTTTAGCTCCCATAAATCTCACTCACCATTAGCCAATATTTAAGCTTTATTCAGCTGAATCTTACTCCTAAGCAAAATATCCAGTATGTAGCCTAAATTGAATTAATCCTACCTACCCCTGATTAAATCTATTCCAAATTGAATTGATTTAATTAAAATTCACATTCAGAAAGAAGAGCATTTGTAATGATATTTGATGAATTCAAATCATTGTTAACAAGTTTTACTTATCTACCTGGAATCAGTAAACTAATTAATTACAAAATTGTCTTTCTCAATCCACCAGCTTCACAATTGATCTATAAGATCAGGCATTATAACTGTATTGTTCTGATAACTTTTTTTTATTTTTTTCATTAAAATAAATCATAAGCATCCACATGAACATCACCTGTCATACATTTTTAGATGTTCCTTGTATAAAAAAAGGTTGATTAGTCATATTTTAATTTATTCTGCTTTAGTATGTATCAAGCATGTTAATTAAATGAAAATAAACATTACAAAATAGAGGAGGAAGCACGATTTTGGTGTATATTTTATTTGGAAGTGGGGAGCAGCAATACAGTGTTTTGGGGCTAAAATTGCCATCTAGCTATTTCTGTCTCATACTGCTATTAATAGTAAAGAGAACCTTCAAGATAGTCTAGCAAAGGGATTTTGATGAAAATCAGTACATGGAGCCAATTCAGATTGCGAATACATTTAAGATTATGTCCTTATTTCCATTTTTTTTTCATTCAAATAACAACAGTTAAGGAAAATATTTGTAGCTCAGTTGAAGTGAGGGGTCCTTGGAGCTCTCTAAGCTTGGTTGTTTTCATTACCCTAACTAGGTAATATCATCAGTGGTAGAAGCCAGACATTTTAAAACAACAAATAACATAATATATGTTTTGGTACAAAATAAGTTTTCATAGCACAGATAATTCTGATTAGGAGAACCCACCAAGCAAATTGAAACTCCCTTACATTAAACTACTTGCCTAATGACCGTCTCTTCTAATTGGCAGATAGTTTTCTTTCTGCACATTATTTATCTTTAAATTTATAACTGAGCAACACCTTCATTAGGAACAAGCCATAAAACTCAAAGGTGCATATGGACCACTTGAATTCCCTTCAACTTTTAATCAGCCAAGATATTACAAAACAGGGAAAATAATAGACTCAAGAATGTCAAAAACTAGGGCATATGTTTCAGCTGCAAGACCTTATTTCACAGGATAGATCTGTTCCCAAGAACAGATCTGTATACCATATGTGTTTTCAAGGAGTATTGAGTTCACTGTAACATATTTCTAGATACATATTTAGAAGCGTACCCTAAAACATCTGCAAACAAATTCCACCACCATCATACTTAATTATAGCCAAGGACCAGGAATAAAAGAAATAGAGTGCAGAGAAGAGTAACAAGGGGACTGGAGGCTAAAACATGAAGAGTGGTTGCAGGAATTGGGTATGTCTCATTTAATGAAAAGAAGAATTAAGGGTGGTATGATAGCAGTTTTCCAATATCTAAGGGGCTGCCACAAAGAAGAGAGGGTCAACCTATTCTCCAAAGCAACTGAAGGCAGGACAAGAAGCAATGGATGGAAACTAATCAAGGAGAGAACCAACCTAGAACAAAAAGGAAATTGCCTGATAAAACAATTAGTGGAACAACTTGCCTCTAGAAGTTGTGAGTGCTCCAACACTGGAGGTTTTTAAGAAGAGCTTGGACAACCATTTGTCTGAAATACTATAGGGTTTCCAGGAAGTTGGACTAGAAGACCTCCAAAGTCTCTTCCAACTCTGTTATTCTGTTACTCTGAAATAAATGATAGTTCTCTTTCTTATTAAAAGGCTGCCACCTCCATATACAGAGAGTTCTTTTGACACCGTTAAAGCTATTCCTAAAAGTAATATCCTAGATGTTTTCTTAGATGTCTTTTATTGATTACAGTAATTGTTATTTACTATATGTTTTACTCAATTTTCAACAGTGATATTGCCAAGGCAGCATGTATACTATAAAAAGTAAAATTCCATACACTTAGCAATGGCAAATACCATAAAAGCTTTACCAATAAAAAAAGATACAGATATGTTTTAAAAATCATTTTTAAATGATCCAAGTTGGAGCTAAGATGTTCTTCCTTAGAATGCAATCTCCCCCACTCATAAAAACTAGTTACAATATGTTTACATAATGTGAGGCAGCAGTTATTTAATCAGTAAAATCAGTGACTGTGTCATGCAGCTCAGAAAAGTGTTGCAAACAATCTTCAAATGTATACAATTAAATGGTAAAGCTTTTTGAAGTTACAAGGTCCAACCTCAAAAATGCCTTTTTTTAAAAAGTTATTTCAGATGGAAGTGTTCCATAGAGGGTGGTGGTTATTACTTTCTTAAATAAACTTCTGATGCTTCTGATTAAAATCTCTGGCATATGAGATTAAACATAAGTAATACAGCTTTTTGAATCATTAAATAAACAGCAACAAGGTTTGGTCCTTTTTTATTATGGTGAAAGTGTCATCTACATAAGGAGAATGCATACTAACTTAATTCTTTTGTATTCTGACTTTCCTGCAAGATACATGGAAACATGGAAACATTTATAAAATTATGGGCACTTTCACAAAAATGACTCTCACAGGCCAGGTAAAAGCATAAAAACGTCTCTTTAGCTAATTGAAGACTGCGGGGTAGAACATAGAATATCAGAGTTGAAGGGTACCTTGGAGGTTCAACCCCCTGTTCAAGCAGGAGACCCTATACTATTTCAGACAGGTGGCTGTCAAATCTTTTCTTTAAAACCAGTGATGAAGCGCCCACAACTTCTGAAGGCAAGCTGTTCCACTAGATAATTGTCCTCACTGTTAGGAAGTTTCCCCTTAATTCCAAGTTGCTTCTCTCCTTGATTAGTTTCCATCCATTGTTTCTTGTCTTGCCTTCTGGTGCTTTGGAAAATAAGTTGACTCCCTCTTCTTTGTGGCAGTCCCTCAAATACTGCTATCATGTCACCCCAGTCCTTCTTTTCTCTAGACTACCCATATCCAATTCCTGTAACCATTTTTCATATGTTTTTGTCTCCGGGTCTTTAATCATCTTAGTTGCTCTTTCTGTTGAGCGATTGCTATCCTGTACCAAATGAATGGTTGGTTTCACCTAGTAAAGCACAAAAACGTATCTTTAACTAATAGAAGACTGCTGGGTAGAACATAGAATATCAGAGTTGAAGGGACCTTGGAGGTCTTCTAGTCCAACCCCCTGCTCAAGCAGGAGACCCTATACCATTTCAGACAGGTGGCTGTCCAGTCTCTTCTTAGAAACCTCCAGTGATGGAGTACCCACAACTTTTGAAGGCAAACTTCCTCTGGTTCATTGTTCTCACTTCAGGATATTTCTCATTAGTAGTAGGTTGGATCTCTCTTTAATTAGTTTCCATCTGTGGTATCTTGTCTTGCCTTTAGGTGCTTTGGAAAATAGGTTGACTTCCTCTTCTTTGCCTTTCAAATATTGGAACACTGCTATCATGTCTCCCCTGGTCCTTCTTTTTACTAGACTAGCAATACTCAATTCCTGCAACCATTCATCATATGTTTTAGTCTCCAGGTCCCTAATCATCTTTGTTACTCTTCTCTTTTTCCAAAGTCTCAACATCTTTTTTTATAATGTGGTAACCAAAACTGGATACAATATTTGAGGCGTGGTCTTACTAAGGCTTTGTAAAGTGATACTAGTATTTCATGTGATCTTGATTCTATCCTTTTGTTAATGGAGCTTAGGATTGTTCAATAGGATGCCAAGATCCTTCTCACAGTTAATGCTATTGAGCCAGGTTTCATCTAATCTGTAACTCTATTTTTGGTCTTTCTTTCCCATGTGTAAAACCTTACTTTTTTCTATATTGAATTTCATTTTGTTGGATGGGGCCAATGTTCAAGTCTGTCAAATTCTATCTGAATCTTGAGCCTATCTTCTAGAGTGTTGGCTATTCCTGCCAGTTTAGTGTCATCAGCAATTTTGATCAGTTCCCCTTCTATTCCCTCATCTAAATCATTAATGAAACTATTGAAGAGTATTAGGCCAAAAATGGAAGAACTCAACTGCTTACTTCCCTCCATGTGGATGTAATTCTATTAAGGACTACACCAGTGATGGTTAACCTTTTTGGCACTATTGATATTTTGAAAACAGTATTGATCTCTCCGCAGAGCTGGCTTTTGTGATTGTGTTCTGAGATAATTATATAAATACACAGTTCTATTTAACTGATTTTATTAAAGGTTGATAAAGTTTTCTTTAACGAATTAATAAAGAGAGATACCAAAGCCATCCAACAAAAAAAAAAAAAAGGAGAAATCTGAAAATAGCTCCATTATTAACTGGTGTGCACAAACAGTTAAATAGCAATAGCATTTAGATATATATACCACTTCATAGTTCTTTACAGCCCTCTCTAAGCAGTTTACAGAGTGATCATATTGCCCCCAACAATCTGGGTCCTCATTTTACCAACCTCAGAAGGATGGAAGGCTGAGTCAACCTTGAGCCACTCAGAATCAAACTCCTGGAGTGAGAAGTGAGTTGGCTTCTAACTGTGCCACAATGGCTCTTAAATATACATTATTAAACAAGGCTGCTTATTTCAAATTTTCAGCTAGACTAGCTTGTCTTTTGCTTATCCTATACAGAACATTCTTTCTGTATTGTTTGAATAATAGCATGGTTAAATAAAAAGTAGGTATTTTGGTGGGGTGGGGTGGGGTGGGGGAGGAGGCAGAGAGGAAACACATTGTATAAGTGTTTTAAGTTTTGTTTTGTTTTTTAATGTCCAAAATCTGAATTTTAGATCAGAAAGATGAGTATCAGGAGCCATGAGTTTGGGGAGAAAATAAATGATGAGGTTATGTAATTATATGTGGTTATAAAGTAGATATGAAGTCATGTAGTTGGCTTGTCATAAGGTATGGGTGTAACAGTAATTTCTCCATCTGTATAAAAATAAAATTAAACGGAATAGAAAACTGATGAGAACCCTCAATCAAATTGGATACGCTCATTTCATGAAGTAACCTGCTGGAATCTAAGAGCAGTTCCCAGAGGCATGAAGTAACCCATGTAGTAGTGCTCCAACAATCTAATCTTGCTTTTGAATGAACTATTCAAAGCCAAACCAAAATATTGGCAGGAGAGAACCAATGACCACCGTTTCCTGGGTTTTTGTGCAGCATGCACATACGTCAGCATAACTTACCTTTTATAAAGCACTTCCAGCTTCAGCCCCTGTTTCAGTGTTTAAACTTTTGAGAGTTTGGTCGTTACTTCAAATAAAGAAGTAATCAAATCTCCAGAATAAGTTATCTAGTACAGGGGTCTCCAACCATGGCAACTTTAAGCAAAGGTGGCTGGGGAATTCTGGGAGTTGAAGTCCGCCAGGCTTAAAGTTGCCATGGTTGGAGACCCCTGATCTAGTACTACCAGATTGGAGTTGCAGAACTCTAGATGACCAGTATATGGTGGCAGAAAGTTAACGCTTTCTTATTTCTAGCCTTCCATCTAATGGCCATTCTGATTTCTGCAGTCAATATCTGGTCATCAGTATGCTAGAAATACTTGAAGCAAAGAACAAAATAAAAACCTTCCCCTGCTACCATACATATTGCACGTCGCTTTATTTTCTTTATTAAATTTTATGCCACCCATTTCATGTTGAGTGTCTGTTTATTTGACTTTCAATGAAATCTTATTTTAACTCAAGGGGAAGAATCTTTTATCCCATCTGAGCTAGTGGTGGGTTTCAAATTTTTTTACTATTGGTTCTGTGGGTCTGGCTTAGTGGGCATGGCATAACTTGGTGGCATGGCTTGGTGGGCATAGCAGGGGAAGGATACAATAAAATCTCCATTCCCATCCCACTCTAGGGGAAGGTTACTGCAAAATCCCCATTTCTCCCCGATCAGCTGGGACTCGGGAGGCAGAGAATAGATGGGGATGGGGGCGGGGCCAGTCAGAATTTTTACTACCAGTTCTCCGAACTACTTAAAATTTCCGCTACTGGTTCTCCAGAACTGGTCAGAACCTGCTGAAACCCACCTCTGATCTGAGCAGAGCTGGCTGCTTTAGGGCTGTGGGACAAGCTAAGTGGAATCCACAGTTCCTACCTTTTAACCTTTCTTTTGCTCCCAGCATCTTCTTTCTAAAGTACTCACCTGTCAACCTAATGGCAGGGTTGTTCCTAAGCTTTTAAACATTTTACTGCTATTGCTTCTGGTTGGCAACACTGTTGAACTTTTAAAATTCGTTTTGACATTTATGCACCAGTTCAGTCCAGTCAAACTCTTAAGTTCACCAAAATATATAACAAAATACAAAAGTAATAAAAATAATAATAATGCAATAGAAAATATAATGCAATATAACAATGCTGTCATGCCCCCGTTGGAGTCTGAGTCTGCGGGGGAAGATGAGCTGGAACAAGAACTGACAGAGATGAAGGGGCTGGCTCTGTTGGCCTTGGAGGAAACTGTGGAAGGGCAGAGTCGATCCAGGCAAGGCTTTTCTGAATTAGTAAGGCCTACAGAAAGGGAGAGCTCAGGAGAAGAGCAAGGACTATCCCCTCCTGATCTGAGAGCAAGGAGGGAAGAGAGATGGCAAGATCAATGCTGATTGAGCCAAGGAGGGGAGTGCCCCACCCCCTTTCACAAGGCTCACCTGGGGACTGTTAAATCGTGGGCGATTGAAGGAAGACTCGACACAATGTAACTGTAACTCTTTTATTTAACTCCAGAAACAGCAATGGCTATTCTAGCCTGGGCAGCCCTTTATATAGGAAGGAGCTGTCCCCGGCTGCAGCCACTCATGTGCCTCCAATTTTCCCGCTCTCAGGACTAATTCCTGATTGGCTTATTTGAACTGTTACTTGATATCTAACACTCCTCCCCCCTAGTTCAGTGTCCGCCAGTCCGGGGTCTCTTATGCTACGTAGTTGCGTAAGTAGGCGGGCCGTTTGGAGGTTCGACCGGACCTGCGCAGTTCAGTCATCCCGGTGCCCTCGGGTTGGGAGGTTGAGGTCCGCTGCTCTCTCTGTGTGGGCTCCAGAACTCTCTCGAACTCGGTCTCCGGTGTGGATTCGCCTCCTTCTCCCACTTTACTTGGCTGTCCCCTCCGGCTCCTTTCGGCGCCTGTCACCTCCTCCGTGGTCTCAGGTACGTGCTCGCTGTTATCTTCTTCCGGGCTGGTGTTTGGCGTGTCCAGACCTGGTGTTTGTGTCTTGGCCCGCTCTGGTACTGCTTGCTTGTCTTTTCCTTCCCCCTGGTTGTTGTGCTGGGGTTCACTCTCGACTCTCGTTAATCTTCCTCTGAGTTGGTCAATGTGCCTTTTCCAGAGCTGGCCGTCTGTTGTCTGGACCCGGTAGGACAGGGGCCCCGTCACCTGGGTTATTGTTGCTGGTACCCAGAGTGGGTTTCCACTCAGGTTTTTTGCGTATACTCTGTCCCCTGGCTGGAACTCCCGGATTCTGCTCGTGGAGTCGGTTGGCTTCTCTGTGCTGTACTGCGGGTGCAGTCTGTCCAGAGGGGATCTCAGCTTACGGCCCATTAATAATTCTGCTGGGCTTCGGTGGGTCGTGGCGCTTGGTGTAATGTGCTGGATGGCTAATAGTTTATCTAATTTGGCCTGAATGTCCCCTGGACCTAGTCTCATGAGCGTCTCCTTTGTAGATCTCACCATCCGTTCCGCTAGACCATTTGTCGATGGTTTTTTCGGGGCAGATAACGCGTGCCTTATTCCTTGGTCAGCGAGGAACATCTCGAAGGTGTTTGATGTGAATGGTGGTCCGTTGTCAGAAACTATGAGGTCGGGAATTCCATGTGTGGCGAATAGGCGTCTCAATACTTTAATCACTGCGTCTGCTGTGGTCGTTGTCATGAGTACTACTTCGAGCCACTTCGAATATGTATCCACGATGACTAGGAACGTATTCCCTTTGCAAGGCCCTGCGAAGTCGATGTGCAATCTGGCCCATGGTGTTCCCGGGTTTTCCCAGTCGTGGACAGGGGCTGAGTTTGGTGCTGCCCTCGACTCTTGGCAGTTAGTGCAGGAGGACACCCATGTCTCGATTTCCTTGTCCATCCCGGGCCACCACACGTAGCTTCTGGCCAGGGCTTTCATCCTCACGATCCCCGGGTGCCCGTCGTGGAGTAATCTGAGTGTCTGTTGTCTTAGTGTGTTTGGAACAATGACTCTATCCCCCCACAACACGCACCCCCTTAGTCCTGACAGTTCATTTTGCCTCCGTTTGTATGGCAGGAACTCTGTGCTTATGTCTTTTTCTTCCGGCCACCCCTTCCAGATCCAATTTAAAATTCGCGCCAGTGTTTTGTCCTTCGAGGTGGCCCTTGCAATGTCGGCTGCAGATATTCGGGCTTCCTCCATCGTCTCGATTAGCAGTGTGTTCATCGCTGGGGCTGGATCCTCCCCTGTTTCTGGGAGTGGGCACCTGCTGAGGGCGTCTGCATGGTCGATTGATTTCCCCGGGTGGTGGAGCAGTGTGTAATTGTAGGCCGCCAGGAATTCCACCCATCTTAGCATTCTGGGCGACAAAACGGGGGGTGTTGGTTTGTCCCCTGCTATGATGCCTAACAATGGCTTGTGGTCGGTTATTAGTTCGAAACTCCGACCGTAGAGATACTCATGGAACCTTTTTATTCCGGCTACTGCGGCTAACGCCTCTTTGTCCAATTGGCTATAGTTCCGTTCGGGTTTTGACAAAGTCCGGGAGAAAAATGTGATGGGGGCCTCTGTTCCGTTTGGCATCTTGTGGCTCAATACAGCTCCGATGCCGAAAGGGGATACATCGCAAGTTAGTCTTATTGGTAATGTCCCGCTGTATTGCACCAAAATTCTGTCCAAAGTTAAGAGGTTCTTTATATCTTTGAACGCTTTCCTCTCTCGCTCCCCCCATTTCCATTCTGCCTTCCTGTCCAGCAGCCGGTGAAGTGGTTCAGCAGTGGTAGCTTTCTGCGGTAGGAAGATATTATAAAAGTTAAGCAACCCCAAAAATGCCTGCAGTTCGGTTTTATTTTTGGGGGTGGGTGCTTCCTTGATTGCTCTCAGCTTTCCGGGGGTGGGTCTAATTCCCGACTCATCTATCAAGTATCCCAGGAACTCGACCTGAGTCTCTGCTAGTTGGCACTTGTCCCTTTTAACTTTGAGCCCCACTTTCTGGAACCTTGTCAGCACCTCCCTCAGCCGCTGCTTCAATTGAGCCGTGTCCCTTGCTGATATTAACACATCGTCGAAATATGGGATGACTCCTTCGATTCCCTGTAGGAGTCGTTCCATCAGGCTTTGGAACAGCCCAGGCACTACGCTCACCCCAAATTGCAGTCTCTTACATTTGAATGCGCCCCTGTGTGTAACGATGGTTTGTGCTTCCGCAGTGGCTTCATCTACGGGCAGCTGCTGGTATGCTTGTGCTAAGTCCAATTTTGCGAAGATTTTTCCCCTCCCCAAGGAATGCAAGAGGTGTTGGACTACTGGTATGGGGTATGCGCTTTGTTGGAGCGCCTTATTTAATGTACTTTTATAGTCTCCGCACAAGCGTACTGACCCGTCAGGTTTAATCGGTGTCACGATGGGGGTTTCCCATCTCGCGTGGTCTATTGGCTCTAACACTCCCTGCGCGACCAGTTTATCTATTTGTTCGTCTATTTTTGGCCGTAGCGCAAAAGGGACTCTCTGGGGTTTGATTCGGATTGGGGCTACCTGGGGGTCTAAATTGAATGAGATTGGGGACCCTTTGTACTTGCCTAGCTCGTTGTTAAACACCTCTGCGAACTCCCTCATCAGGTCCTCCTCCCAGGTGTCGTTTCCGATGTGATCGATGCCGGTGATGGCTAGCCCCAGTGGCTCGAACCACTCCATGCCCAGCAGGCTGGGCCTGTCTCTGTCCACAATCGTGAGGGGTAGCGTGGCTTTGAATGTCTTGTAGGCGACGTTGAACTTGCCAATGCCTACCACAGGGATTCGGTTCCCTTGGTAGTCGATGAGGGTGAGGCGCTGTCGTTTGAGGTCGCGGGCTGTGATGTGTGGCAGGAGCTTCTTGATTGTTGTCCAGGATACCATCGATAGGCTGGATCCCGAGTCCACCTCCATTTTGCAGGGTCTCCCCTCGATCAAAACTGTCGCCGCCATCTTATTTGCCCTTCCCGCGCTGGCATGGCCGATCACGATGGTTTGATGGGTCTCGCCTCGATCCACCCGGTGGTCATCGTTTCTTTGTCCTCGCCCAAACGGTTGTCTCTTTCCACTTGTCTGGAACTTTCTGTTGTTCGCTGGCGATCGGGGGGCTCTGGTCCTCCTGGAGGCTGGCTGGGATGCCCTGCAGACCCTCGCTATGTGCCCTTTCTTTTCGCATCTTTGGCAGATAGCGTCCCAGAATCTGCATTCGGCTCTCGGGTGGTTCCCTTCGCATCCCGAGCACCAGGCCTCTCTCTTCCCCTGTTGTCTCTCCTTGCGATCGGCTCGAAGGTGATGGACTTCATCCTCCTCGTCCTCTTCCTTCGAACCCGATTCCGCTCTTTCATAGTGCACGGCCGCCTCCTCCTTTACGGGCGGTCCACTTTTCATTTTCTTCATAGCTGCCGCCGATTTCTGGGAAGCTTCGGTTGCAGATGCTTCTTCCAAGGCCTCCTTGAATGTAATTTGAGGCCGGGCCAGCAACCTACTCTGTAATGTGAGGTCCCTCAGTCCCAGTACTAGACGGTCCCTCATGGCCTCTTCTAGATTCAGGAAATCGCATGCGGCAGCTATTTCTCGCAAGGTCGCCACGAACGCACTGATCGTCTCTCCCTCTCTTTGGTCCCTCCAATAAAACTCATGCCTTCTTACCAGGGATGATGCTTGCGGTGCGTAGTGTGCCTTGAGTATTTCTTGCAGCGTTGTCCAGGTCATGGTCTTCAGATCGGCTGGGGCGGCAAGTGCCTTTGCCATTTTAAACACTGCCGGGCCACAATGGGTGAGAAAAAGGGCCCTCTTTCTCTGCTCTGATAAGCTCAGCAGATCGTTCGCCTCCATGAACATATAGAATCGCTCCATGTAAGCTTCCCAATCTTCCCCGGTTGGGTTGAATGGAGCGGGCGGTGTGATTGCAGACATCACGATAGCCGATGATCTGACCGGTATTATGCAGTGGATCGGATGGGTGGCTGATGATTGCTTGGAGATTGATGTGCAGTCCTGTTCCTTCAGATCCCACCCTCGTCGCCAATGTTAAATCGTGGGCGATTGAAGGAAGACTCGACACAATGTAACTGTAACTCTTTTATTTAACTCCAGAAACAGCAATGGCTATTCTAGCCTGGGCAGCCCTTTATATAGGAAGGAGCTGTCCCCGGCTGCAGCCACTCACGTGCCTCCAATTTTCCCGCTCTCAGGACTAATTCCTGATTGGCTTATTTGAACTGTTACTTGATATCTAACAGGGACTGAGATGTACGAGGTGGGAGGGGCATTTGTCGGGAACAAGTGATGAACCTGTGAAACCTCATGAGCATTTGCCAAAGCCTGGAGATTGCTGTACTCTGTCTTGTGGGGGTTGCCAGTTTCCCTGTTTTGCTGAACTTCTTGCTCTGGTTACTGTTTAGCTAACCTGGCTTACTGGACTGCTGGGCCTGATTAATGCTTGAGCTAACCTGGCTTATTGGACTGCTGGCCCTGGAATGCTGTTTGGTTAGCCTGGTTTACTGGACTACTTGCAGCCAGAGACTTCTGAAGGTGTATAGGACCTGTAGTGAATGTGGGAATGTTTGGGGGCACAGTTGGAGCAATAAAGGGGAGTTAGACCTGTTCTCTGGTTGTGTTGCTTTCGTGCCATGCCCCAGGTGTGCATGTGCAATGAAATTAATTCTGGTATCTGCAATGAATCCTCAAAGTGCCCTTCCCAGATGGCCTAAATCTTCTGGAAAGTTGTAAACATTCTGAAAAGCTGTAACAGGAGATCCATCCTTGCAAGCTATTCCATAAATTGGGAGTTCCTAAGGAGGAACTCTCCAGACCCAGACACTGCATTGTATCCCCTGCTAATCAAGGATCTGGCATTGGCTGGGCTGGCAGAGTTTATCTTTAAATGTAATGAACAGCAGTTGAATTGCATTTGGAAATTCATTGTTAGTTAGTTAGTTTACTTTATTGTCATTGCACCTCCTACAACAAAATTAAATGCCATCTTCAGTGTACATCATACATAAGAAAACTATAAAAATAAAACAAAAGCACACATCCTTCACATTCTAAACAATTGAATTGAAAACCCCTGATACTGCATTACACTATTCAGTAGAGTTCAATATAATTACTGTTCTGGGGTAGAAGCTGTTTTTCAGCCTATTTGTCCTTGTTTTTATTGTCCTGTACCATCTGCCAGATGGTAATAGTTCAAAAAAAGGATGCCCAGGATGAGTTGGATTTTTAAGAATGTTTTGAACTTTCTTAAGACAGTGGGAGCTATAAAGCTCTTCCAAAGAGGGGAGAGGGCAACCAATGATCCTCTGGGCAATGATGTTGACCCTCTGGAGCGCTGTCCTATTTTGAGTTTACAGGAAGCAGCAGAATTAAATTGTCTGTCAGGCCTTCAGGATAGTTCAGACAAAAGGCACCAACTGTGAATACTAACACTACCTTTATTGTAAGGTTACAATAACATAATTTTGAAAGTCTGAAAGTACCTGTCCCTTCCTTATTTTATTCTCCCCAAAACTAGGCAGAGTCCCTTCTGAGATGCTTTCTGCACTTCTATCCCTCTTTTGGAGTCCGATTTCATTTATTGAACTGCGGCTCTTTCTTCTGTCAACCAAAGTCATTTCCATGTATCATTACACAGTCTCACTTGTCCAATGGAGGAGTTACTAACTGCTGATGAAAATTTAGTAACAAATTATGGAGATGGGAAGATGGAGATGGGATTATGCAGCAAAAAGAGAAACACTGAACATTTGATCACTATCCTAAAGCCTTAAAGTAAAAGCCTATATAGTATGTGTTCATATACATGTTCACATACACAAGCCCCAACCTCATTTATTTTTGAGGTTTTGGAGGAACTAATAACAATGTCAAACTACAGGCATGCATACAGACGCAGAAACAAACCCAAGTGCTTCCTTAAGCTCTTTTTCTTACTAGTGTTCTCAATATTCAGTCATAGATCAATCCCGAACAGCTTTAGCAAAGGAATTTACCCTGACATGAACATATAAAAATCCTCCTTCCAAAATATTAAAACTATAAATTTCAGGAAAAAAATGTAATCATGACCTAAAAAAACCTGGGGCTTTGTTTGGCATTAAACTAGCTTCCTATTTTATTTTATTTAAAAAAAAAAAAACCACTTAGATTGGTAAATCTGGCAGGTACAATATCTGTAGATTGGTATATTCCAGGATCATACAATATGTTCACCACTGAATTGCTGAGTCAATATTAGTTTTATTTATTTGTTAGTTAGTTTTGTAAGACTACCATATGTTTGAACCACTCAAAAAAGCATGCAGGATATTGAAAACATAACATAACAGTAGAAGAACAAATAAATACCAAACAGTTATTCAAGGAATGCCACAAACAAAATAGTCCTAGTCCTAGAGGGTTCACAAAACACTAGAGCCAAAAACTTGCTGGAAGAGTCAGATCTTTTTAGCCTTCCTAAAGAACACCCAAATTGGGCTACATGGACCTAGGGGTAATGCTGCTGCAAACTATAGGAGTGATGACAGAGGAGATCCATAGTTTGGTGACCTTGTCAGACATTATAATATGAGCCAAGGCAATTGGAGAGAGCTAGTCCTGCTGTTAGCTGACACACCTAGATTGGTGGTGCGGTATCTGAGGTGGGTTGTAATGTTTCTCCGCAAAGCAAAGAATCATTTTAAGAAGAGAGAGAACAGTTGTTATTCATAAAAAAAGGGAACAGCATTATTTTTAAAGATGCATAAAATTATGGATGCCCAATCCACTCAATAGAAATGCTTGGAAAGTCTGTTTTGGCAGTGTTTAGTTCACTGTAAAAGAGTTCAAGGAGTTCCAGCCAAATATAATTTTGAACATGTTTGTTACAACAGTCATTAATTACAGGGTAATGTTGAAAATGAACTTGCTGTGCAGCCAGCCAAGAAAATTGGAAAATAGAAAGGTATTTATCACTTATAGCCAGTAGTGGGATTCAACTAATTTAACAACCGGTTCTCTGCCCTAATGATTTCTTCCAACAACCAATTCACCAAACTGCTCAGAAATTTAACAACTGGTTCTCCCAAAGTGGTGCGAACTGGCTGAATCCTACCACTGCTTATAGCTTATGTACACTGAGAGCTTATGCACCGAACACAAATTCCTTGTGTGTCCAATCACACTTGGCCAATAAAGAATTCTATTCTACATTTGGTCCAGTGGTGGGTTTCAAAAATTTTTACTACTGGTTCTGTGAGTGTGGCTTGATGGGCATGGCTTGGTGGACATGGCAGGGGAAGGATACTGTAAAATCTCCATTCCCACCCCACTCCAGGGGAAGGATACTGTAAAATCTCCATCCCCTCTCTAATCCAGGGGAAGGTTACTGCAAAATCCCCATTTTCTCCCAATCAGCTGGGACTTGGGAGGCAGAGAATAGATGGGGGCGGGGCCAGCCAGAATTTTTACTATCGGTTCTCCGAACTATTCAAAATTTCCGCTACTGGTTCTCCAGAACTGGTGAGAACCTGCTGAAACCCACCTCTGATTTGGTCCCTGAAATGCTTATCAAGTTTGGCAGCCCTTCCATTATGAAAACACTTTTATTAGTAGAGTACTTTAGAAATGCATATCAGAGCAACGTCTAATAGCAGATAGCAGTTATTTCACTGACATGACAGCAGTGATAAATATACTCTTTAAATCTCCAAATCCAGGAGCCAAGACTGGCTTCAGCAAGGACTCATCTTCTTTAACGTTGCTGGTTCAGTGCAGCAAGTGAACTGAGATCAAAGGGTCTTCCAAACCCCCTTTAATTACAACTGCAGCCGCGAAATGGGATGTGTTCCTGAAGGAAAGCACTGTGGAACAATATTATGCAGTGTACAAATTCCATCAAACCACTGTATAAATAAACAATGCTACTGAATCACACAACAAATCATCGTACAATTAGGCCACACAAGACCATCTGTTTTACAAAGCAGCCTCTGAGCCAGAGGAAAAAACTTTGAAGATAAATATTCCCATATGCGCAAGGCAAATAAAACAAAATTACTATTCGCATGGAGCATCATTCTGTAATGAAATTCTCCGTGGGAATAGACCATTTCATAGAGAGGCTGCTACATTATGTACCAAACTTGACAGATGCAAAGGGGATAGAATTACAAATTGGTTTGGGCGCTGTAAGAGTTTGACTCTTGGGCAGTATCATGGCTCGTTTGTTGTTTATTTCTTGGTTGGGGTTAGGGATATTATTGGGTAATTTTTCACAAAACAATCTCGGGAGAGGTAGACATTTCATTTCTCTCTGCCTTTCATCTGCATTAGTTAAAACCGTAATTTTTGAACAATTTGACATAGCCTCTAGTAGCCTACAGATATAGTAGTAAAATGTCATGTAGAAAATGAGGGCTGAGGACAACCACAGAGAGTCCTCACACCCTTCATTTGAGCAACTTTGCTCTGATGTGCATAGTTGTGGTATATATGTGTAAAATTGTGACTAGGGACAAAGTTCTGTAAAAGAGTTCACCGTAGATTTGCTATCCACCCAGCTCTGTACCTCCTCACAGATGTAGAATTTGCTAACACAGATCCATTTGCTTAAGGTATCTTAACCAATATTCTGGGTAGGCTGTCCAAAAAGGATACAATAGTAAATTTTAAAAAAAGAAGAAAATAGCCAATAAAACAATAAAAATAATACGATTGGCTACAGAAATTGTGAATAAAAATTAGAATGCATTGCTATGGGCCCTAGGCCATAGAATGCATAATATTGATCCATTTTCTCCTTTCAAGTCTAGGCTTAGAGACTACCATGCAATGTAAGAAATACTCTTTCAGACTTATGATATTAGGAAGAGCTTTGGGTTGTTTTATTAAAAGCTTTGTCAATTCTAAATATTTATCATTTTTAAGTGCCC